TCAAGTGACTCGGATAATGGACTGGAATTTGAATGATGGGATTTTAAATTACCCTTGACTGAGGGGCTCTGCAGGTTTTCTGGGATGCAGTAATATGGGACGATGGGGCACGGTGCTGGTGAATAGGGCGGGACCCACAGTATCTTGCCTGTAGAGCACGCCAGGTGATTACCTTCTCTCACTATGTGACACTCAGGAGAGAATGGGGAATATATGCAGGGGTGAATGAGAGGTTTCTCTGTCATTTCATTTTGCCAAGTGATACAGCTCTGTTATGGGTTGGCTCTGGTCATTCTTTGGCCTGCTTCACATGGTGTTTGGGTGTGTTCCCTTTGATGTCATGAGAAAGAAGAAAGTTGACACCCTGTCTTGGACAGGTAACTGAGACTGGGGGACTTCTTTTGTTTTTGCCTTTGTTTTCAGTAGGTCCCAGAGATACTGACAGCATTTGAATCATGGGTTTCTTAACTCTTCTGCTTGAAATCCAAGCCTTCCACTGTGTGAGCTTGGTATAAATTAAATCAAAGCAGTCGACGTCTTGCTGAGCCCACAAGAAGAATTGCATATCACTGTGAATTGTCTATTACAGTATGTTGCCGCGCAATAGACGGTTTGCCTTGAGATTTTTGCCTTCGTGAGAAGAATCGGAATGGGCTCGGAAGGCAGTCAGCTGAGCCGTAATGCAGTACAGCACTCAGAGAAGGCTACGGAATGCGTATGAGATTATTATGTGTGTTCGGATTGGTGTATCACGCTGAGCTCTGCGGCAGCTCATCCGTGATCTTTCGGTTTCACCTCTTCCCGTCCCCTTGTGTTCAGCGGAGGACTGCGGCAGTGTGCTCAATGGCGGCCGACAGAGGTCCCGGGCAGATCCGCGGCTGAGGATGGAGGGCCAGTGGTGAACAGCCGAATGCTAGCGCGTGCGAGAATGCTAGCTACGGGTGGCCCCTCCGCAGCAGCGATGAGAACTGATTAGGAGTCAGCCGCCCATCAAACTGAGCCATTGAGCACCGGCCACAGATTACGAGAGAGTTACACACAGTGACACATTAGATCGGCAGGCACTCAAGGTTCGCTGCTTTGCCCTCCCCACGTTTGTAATGTTTATGCACTAATGCGTTCACTCCTGTCTGACGGTCAGACTAGTGGCGTTGGGAAGCTTTGGATTAGAAAACAGTAGGTGGCAAAGACCTTTATAGGAGCTGCTGTTTGTTTATGGGAGCTAATTAAAAACAGATCGGGCCTCTCACCTGATTTCTTTCCCATCCACTATACAAGGCAAATAAGCATCAAGAGCGAGGCCCACTGATATGGGTTTAAGGAACATGGATCCTTACATAAACTCTCTGCTTTATTGCAGAATTTAGTGTGTTGTAGATGAGATATCGATCGCTGAAGACCTTGGGTAGCATTTGCACGGTGTGTGAGCGCAGATATTCTTGCTGTCTCAGTTTCAGCGGCAGGGTCCTTTACGCGAGCAGAGAGCTCTGCAGAGTAGAGCTGTGTTAAAATAGGCACTCTCCCTGGGGGCCTGCCGAGAACAGCGCACACTCGTTTGCGGGCTTCCTTTTGAAAAAGACTGAAATGAACCGTCTTAGTTCAGATCCATACAGCACTCAGAACTGGCGGAGAAAGCAAGGCACATCTGTGCTGGGGGAAAGAGGGGTCCCTGTTGACTGTTACTGAAACGTTATTAAAATGCGTCTGTGTTGATCTTTGAAGTACCCACGTGAGCTTGTGTTTTTTGCGCCCGGGTGTTCCTCGAGTGAAATCGACGGCTGAGTAAACGGCACGCTGTTGCTGGAGGAGAACCGAGCCCCTTTTCCGAGGTTTCGAATGGAAGACGGTTCCAGTGCATTATGGGAATGTGTTTTTTTTTCCCCCCCAGGCTGTCCTTTGTGAGATGGTTGTGTATTTTCTTCGTCACTGCCCCTGACCTGACTCCTCATAGCGAGTGCGGTGTTGGGTATCAGTCTGAACGCATGGCAGTGTGCTGAGTCCACACGCTCTGCGCGACGCACCTGAACGCGCACCTCATAATGCTGACTTTGTCTAAGCTTGTTTTGCACAGAGCTTTGAAGCTTTCCCTCGCTGTCTTTTTTATTAAAGAGGAATCAGTGGTGTTCTCCAAGGTTCATGAATCATTTATGCACCTGCTTCTCAAACCCCCTGTCTGCACCTCACCAACACCTCATCTGAGCTCCTTCCTTCTCCCCCCCGTGCTCCTCAAAGCTGATTTTTTTCCTATCAAGGATCTCTGCACACACACACTGTATATTTACCCTCACCCCCAGAGAACAGAGAGTGTGTGCGTTTGTGCCTGTTCCCAGGCGACCTGATGACTGGGTACCCGTTCCGCCCCTGTCGTTGCCGGGAGAGAGGTTGCTGCAGTGACGCCGCGGCGCTCAGAGCTTGGCAGCGCCCTCCGGTGTCCGCCCCGTGCGATGGGCTCCCAGGCTCCCCGCCTTCCGCTGTTATTCCAGTTGACCCACATACTGCGCTCCTCGGTTGACCCATTTAGAGTAATGTCTCCTCTGAGTGCCTCCGCCGGCCCTCCCTCTCTGGCTGCGTCCCAAACTGTACGCTCCCTCTCGCCCGCTCGAAATGTGCATGTTCGAGGCTAGAAGCTCAGCGCCAGGTGTGTTCTCATAGATAGTTTGCTAGAGTGTTAGTGCATCCCTGCCGCTCTTGGTGCAATTTCCCAGCAAGTCTACACAGAACCGCATTTCCCAGAACACTTTGTACTCTCGTGGTGTTTCCGACCTATCAGATAAAGATTGGCTGATGAGGAAGGTTGATCGTGCAACCCAGTAAGGGTAAGATTAATTTATTCTTGCATTCTATAATTGCCCATGCTTTAAATATCATATATTTTACACTTGGCTTCACTCCACACACCTACAGACCTGATTCTTTTGACTGAGTGTAACAAGCACAATGAACTTAGAGGCAGAAAAAAATAAACTAATTAAAACAATTGTGCACACAGCAAGGGTCTGCTCCATTTTGGGCACCACTGAAGTTGAGGGGTGGCTCCATCGGGGGATCGTTTTGCTGTGACTGATTATATTAGGTTATATTTACTGTATGGCATCATTATTATGCTGTATCACAGGCTGTTCAAAGTTGCTCAGCTTGTAACTGAATTTAAATCCAAGGATGACATCAGATCATTTTAAGTAAGAAACTAGCTGGATGCCACTGAAGTACGTCCCAACCAATTGCTTACATTTACATTTACATGAGGAAGACCACACCCAAAGTGGCCTGTGTAAGCGCAACTGTTCAGAGGACAGGTGTGCGGTTTGGGAGGCCTCAGTCTTTTGGGGAGGCACGTGTGTGGTCTGTGGTTGCATCCGGTCCAAGTCTCAGTGAAGGAGAGACTGCGTGTAGAATCGTTTGCGGGAGACTGGAACGTGAGAGCAGATGCTGTCCTGGTGCTCAAGCACTTTCCCCACTGGGTGTTTATCGTATTTCACAGATGGCTTCCTCTGTCTGCTAGGAGGCCTGCGTCCTATATGGTGTTCTGTAGATGACTCGTGCGCATGGATTCAGAAGGTTCAAGGCAACCTTAGCTCTTTCCCTTCTCTCCTCTCTCGCTTCTCTGCCCTGTTCTCTGATCCCTCTCTCCCCCCTCCCCCCGTCTCCTTTGCTCCCCCTCTCCCTGCCCTCGCCATCGGCAGCTCTGGACCCTTGCCTGTCGGGCTGGATGTGTTCTGTGGGGGTGGGGCCGGGGGTTTGGATGAATTAGATGACAGATCTGTGCCAGACGGTGTCTGTTAATCTGGCAGAATGGGAGCCGTCGCTCACCCCCTCCTCAGACCTGGCTCTCATGGTCTGGCCGCAGTGGGTGTCCCTGGAGCAGGACCCAGACACGACTCCTCTGCCACCTTTCAGCCCCCCAGCAACATGACAAATCTGCCGAGGCGCTCAGCTACAGGCTCCCCACGCCCCCCACCCCACCCCCTGCCTGCTCCCACAGGGGACGGGCGTGTCGCCCCCCCCAGAACTCACACAGACTGTGGCGGAGATGTGGGGAGAACAAGAGCCCTCTCCCCAAGTGGAATTGTTCATTTATATCTCTGGCACCCTCATCTCCATGGCGGAGCCGTTATTGGCATGTGCAAAGCTCCACAATGGTTCAATTCAAGGACAGAACAAGGGACATCGCCATCAGTGCAAGAGCTGGATAAAGGAGAAGGGGAGCTATGAGGGACTCGCTAGTTGGCATGGAAACCGTTGAAGTGATGAACAAGCAGGAAATGGACACTGCCTCTGTTCCTGCGAAATGATTCAAAACGGCACCGTTTCCGTGGAAAACACAGCCGCGATGCTAACGGACCGTTACGGTAGACCCGCGCCGCCCTGACTCCATTTTACCTAATGCTGCGTGCGCGTAATGTTAGAGTGACCGCTTTAAGCCATTAACGCGCTGGCCGTGAGCGTGCTGCCGAGAGCTGGCAGTACTGGCGTCACTCTGTGAGCGCCCCGTCCACATCACCCGGGGCAGGGCGGCCTGACGTCGGCAGAGCGCCTGATATGGGCTCTGACCTACACAGCGCTCAGCAGCAGCACCGAGCGCAGCGCTGAGGCCTCTCGCCTGGACACCGTCCCCCGCCCTCCTTTTGAGAAGCGTTGCTATTGACACGTGGTGAAGAGTAAGGCAGCGTGCTACCGCCGGCCAACCACAGAGAAAGCCCTCCGCTCTGTGGCAGCGCTACATCGACCCGCCTGCAGGTGTTGCCGAAAAGGCCCAGGCCTCCGCTGCCAGACTGACCTGACCCTGTCCCCTGTCACTGCTCCCCGCGACTGGTGACAGCAGCGACAGTCCCAGTCACCATTAATGAAGGGAGAAGCGATGGGGGACGCGGCAGCTGTCGGCAGCCCTCCCGAGTGAGGTGGAGATCAGGCCGCTGGGAGGTGAGGCAGGGCGCTAACTCGTGTCATTGCTCCCAGTGGTGCAGGAGCGTGGATACGAAGGCCTGAGGCAGGTAACAGGTGGCAGTGTAGCATAGTGGTTAAGGTGTGGGACTTGTAACCGAAAGGCTGCCGGTTCGATTCCCCTCTGGGGCACTGCTGCTGTACCCTTGGGCAAGGTACTTAACCCACAATTGCCTCAGTAAATATCCAGCTGTATAAATGTATAACATTGTTAAAAAAAAAAAAAAAAAAGTAACCTATGTAAGTCGCTCTGGATGAGAGCATCTGCTAAATTCCAGTAATGTAATGTAAGCCCAAAGGGAAAAGGAACAGCTTCATTTGTCCAGACTGCCGCAGGTGATGATTCTTTTGCGACTGGTAAGATCCCTGGTGCTCTTTGTCAGTGGTGCGCGGGCGGCGTGTTTAAGTATCCGTCTGCTGTGGGGTCTGATGGTGTAGGTGAGCCAGTGAGCTGACTGCCTTTGAGCTGGGGCGCAGCCTGTTGGTTTCAGAGGCTGCCCCTCCCTGCTCTAGTGTAGCGCGTCGGCTGCATGGGCCTGACCTCACCTCCCACCTCCCTCTCCTGCAGTGCACACTGTTCTCCTCTCTCCTCCTCGCCTCTCCCTCCCTCCAGGGTCACGTGAGGAAGCCTGAGCTCTGGTATTTTAGTGCGTGGTAACGTTGTTGTCTTGGTAATGATCTGCCGGTTTCCACCCCCGAGTAGACTGCACCATTGCGACGCGCAGTTGTTGTGTACAGTGATATCAGTGGTGCAGTCATGCAACTGTATGAGAGCACATTACGCCATGTGCTCCCGTTACCACGGCATCCGGGCTCTCGCTGACGGACACGGCGGAGCGATATTTTGGGCTGCCGAAACGGTTCGGCCTGGGCCCCCAGAGTGCCTGTGCCGGTGCGCCTGTCCTCCTTAGAGGAAGTTTAGCGGGAGCTTCCTGGAGCCCCAGCATGTGAATGACTGTAAGACGGTGCTGCTGGAGGACTGCGGCCTCTTGCCATGGGCTCTGCGCTCTTTAGGATGGTTTGGCCATCAATGGGGAAATGTTGTTACCATGGGAAGTACAATTGTAGATTACCTGCGTGTCAGTCAAAATTGTACAAATTCGAAAATCTTACAAACAAGCTAAAAGAGACCCCCCTGCTTTGGTAAAGTTACTAGTACTTTAACCTCCCAGCTGGCCCGCTTCTGCCCAAAAGGTTGCGTCTCCAGCGGGGGGAGCCGGCCCCCACGCTCAGATTGGGCGCAGAGCCTGTGACCAGTGACCCGTGATTTGGGAAACTTGGCAGGATGCTCGCGCCGTACCCCAGAGGGAAGTGCTGGCGTGTCTGCGCCCCATCACCCCCCCACCCCCACTCCAGTCCCCACTCCAGTCCCCATCCGAGCCCACCTGCTGCCCGCCAATGCCCCGGAGATGAAAGCGGACCGGCCTGCATCCAGCGCCGTGTGAAGTGCTGGCCGTTTGAAGAACAGAGAGGTGCTCCTTCCCCGCACGCCAGAGACCAGCTGCATCCCAAAAGAGACACGGACACACACACACACACGCACACACACACACGCACCCTCATGATGACCCCCCACACGATGAATTCGGCAGAGAGATCGGCGAGTGACATCATACGAGCAGCGCTGCGATTGGATCGCGTTTCGTTTGAGAGGAGGAGCTCTCGATGGGAAGGAAAGGGAGGAAAGGCAGAGAGGAAGAAGAGCTCCAAATCGAAAATAGAAATTGTTTCAGCACCTATGAATAGCAGGAAAGATGAGGTGTAACGTCCCGCCCATTGCTGAGACTGTCACGGCTGGTTGTGGATTTGTGTTTATTTTAAATGTGCACTGACTGTCGGTAAGGTATTTACTCATTTGTATTTCTGTGCATTGTGTCTATGTGTATGTGTGTGTGTGTGTGTGTGTTTCATGCTGCCTGATGAAGAGGTGTACACTGAGCGGTTGTGGTCCAGCTGAGAACTGCTTCGTTTATGGGGGCTCTGGCCATGCAGGGGTTAACAGCATCTGCCCCGAGTGGGAAGGAGAGGGAGTAGTGTTGCTGCTAGTGAGTGAAAGCCAGAGAGCGAGAGAAAGAGGAGAAGGAGGAGGGAGGGGGTAGTGTGTCTGCCTCGCCTGCCTGTGTCATGTGTGTGTGTGTGTGTGTGTGTGTGTGTGTGTGTGTGTGTGCACACTCGCACCTGCCACTTGACTTCCACACTGTACATACTGTAGCTGTCTGCCTGACTATACCCTGCTCCATCTCTCTATCTTGCGGTCGGTACTTCTCTGTGTCTCTGCCTCTCTGTGCTCTGCTCTGTGTCTCTCTCCCTGTCTGTACTCTGCGCTCGCTCTCTCTCTATCTCTCTCTCTTTCTCTCTCTCTCTCTCTCTCTCACACACACTCGCTCTCTCTCTCTCTCTCTCGCTCTCTCTCTCTCTACCAGTCCGTTCTGCTCTGGTTGTTTGTTGCTCCTCTTCCCCTCTATTCCACTCTCCTCTCCCATCATCCTCACCCTTATTTAACCGTCTCCCTCCGGCCGGCCACCCTCCTACCATGGTGCAGGATTTTAACAGCTGGGGAAGGAGAGACGATCCACACGCTCAGCAGACAGAGGTGAGCTGCAGTAAGCCGGGGTGAAGGGGGTGGTTGGGGGGAGGCGGTGTTCAGGTGGCGGGGTAGGGATTCGGAGGTTTGGCAGTGACTTTTGGGGAAGAGTTCGGAAGGAGATGTTGCGAGCTGAGCAGAGCCGGCTTTGAGAGCGTATCTGAGAGCTGAAAACAGTGCGGGTCCTGTGAGATCGCGAGGTAGCGGATCTCTCCGGCTCGCCGTGTTGCAGCCTTTGTCCGTCTGTGCCTCTCACCGGCCGCGGACACGCTGATCTGTGTGAACGCTCCCTGCTCCCTGCTCCCTGCGCCGGCTTACAGGGGGCCGTTTACGCGTCCCCACATCCTGGCAGACAGACAGACAGGCTGAGGGCTGCGACTGCGCGGCTTCTCCGCTGTTGCGTGCCGCCCTGACCTCCCCCCGGCGGGGATTGCCGGGACCGCTGGGACCGCCAGACTTCACTGCACCTCTCAGAGGCTGGAAGGGGGCATTGGCATCTATCTCTGACCATCGAAAAGGAGTTTTCTCTGTTTTTTCTTGTTGTGGGGAAGCAGCCTCTTCCAGCTGCATTTGGGGGGGAATTTTTGGGGCAGAGATCAATCATGTCACCACCCTCTTTTACTGCCCCCATACATGTACCTCCCACCTGCCCCTCACCAACCTCAGCTCTCTCTCTGTCTCTCTCCCTCTCTCGCCCACCTGCCCTCCTCTCTGCCGGCTTTGCACAACAAAAGGGGAGGGAGAGGGTGGCCAAGAGCTGCCCCGGGTTTGCGCAGATCTGTATCCACGCCGACAGGGTGCTGCCCGCCTGCCCCTTGCTCTGCTGCTCTGTCATCCCCACCTCATTTTCTGCTCCTGCCAAAAGCCCCGCTTTGTGCAGCGCGGCCGGGAGGAATTCCTGCTCGTCTGGGTGTGCGGTCGCCAGCTCTCGAAAAAGCCCTTTGCCTGTGAAGAGTCTTTTGTGTTCGGGGTTTTGATGCTGCAGGATCCGGAACCCCCCGTCTGCTTTACGGGCCGTCTCGGGTCGTCCTTGCTGAGAGGAACGCCGTGATGTTTTCTGTTTGGGGGGTCGTATTCGCTGAGGAATGCTGTCTGGCTTTGAACGGCTGGAATCGCCAGTGCTTTAGTGTTGGCTTCTTAAGGGGCGTGGTGCTGTTCCCCCTGCTGTTTTTGTACGTGCTGATGTGCGTTTCGATCGATTCGGTATTACCATTCTCCGTGGTTCCAGAGATCAGACATTCAAGAAATGGAAACCTGCTCCCCCCCGGAGGGCTTTGCAAAACTCCAGTTCTTACTGTGTACAGTAAATAATGACTCACAGTGCAGAGATCTGCATTCACGCACACTGTCATGCAGAGAACTGAATAATATCAGTGATTCAGTTATTCTCTGCGGGATTCTTTGGCTCCTTCAATAAAATAGAGGAGAAAGAATTTTAGTGTATGTATTTGTTAAAATAGCCTTTGAATTCTGATTTAAGTAATCAATTTGTGGTTTCGTAGTTGAATGTTTGAATGATTATTTGGCCTTATCTCTTTTTGTGTGTGTGTGTGTGTGTGTGTGTGTGTGTGTGTGTGTGTGTGTGTGTGTGTGAGTGAGTCAGAGAGAGAGAGACACTCGCACACACAGAGAGGCTGTGTGTTAAGATTTTTGTTTGTGTGTGAATTGTGTGATCTCTCTGTAAACAGTTGTTCGGGTCTTTTCAGTTTGACCAAGGCTTGGACAAACGGTTAACGGGAGTTAGCGGCATTAGTTAACGTTGGTTAACATTGGTGGCAAACGTCCTGACACCTACACCTATGCAGCGTTGCGCCGACATTTTCACCTTGCCCGAACATCGCGGCTTCGCTGCGGGAGCGCTGACTCGCTGCCAGGGCGCTCTGCACGCTCTGTGCACTGTGGGTGCTCCGCCTGCACACGGTCACCGTCACACTCGTACTCCCCCCGGGGTTCTCCGCACCGGGCGCACCTGCTCCCGCTGCCACGGGCACGGTCAGAGGATTCATCACGCTGGCAACCGTCGTCCATCAGAGCAGACAGGATGGCACGGCACCTTGTGCATCCCTCCCTCGCCCACCCCCATCCTGGCTGTAATCAGCTCTCCATCACTCTCACCATATGGGCCAGGCAGACAGATGAGGACACAGCCCCGCCCCTGAAACAGCCACGCTGTCCACCTCCTCTAACACCTTCCTGAGCGGGAGGCCGGCGCTAATGTTTATACAAGCGTGCCGGTTAGGTTGCGAATCTTGAACAGTCTGTGCATCCATTCCTCATTGTCACCTCTAAGTGACAGTGCTATGACAGCTGAGCCCAGGGACGGTCATAACTACTGCACAATCTCACAAGTGGACACACACACACACACACGCACGCAGAAATGCTTACACACCCTGAAAGCATTATCGCACCATACCTCCAGCCGTTGTATTTTTTGCAAGCATTCATAATTTATGTAACCTTGTACCCAGTGGCATGAGCTCTGCAGTGAGGAGTGGATGAGTTTGCGCAGGAGCAGAGATTTAATGTTTGCTGAGCAGAGGGTGTT